TTTTATGCATTTTGATTACCAAATAATATGCCATCGTATGAGGGCATCCTGTTTTCTTTATCCTTTCTTCAGCTGATGGACTTTAGGGTTGTTTTCACTTTTGGGCTCTCATGAGTGATGCTGCTATGAATATCCAAGTACAAGATTTTGTGTGGACCAGACATCTTCATTTCTCTAGGATCTATGCCAAGAGCAGAATTGTTGGGTCATTTGGATCTTTGTATTTAACAGTCTGAGTGGTGACCAGACTGTCTGCCAAAGTGTCTGCACCATGTGACTTTCCCACCACAGCGTGCGAAACTTCCAGTTTCTCCATATCTTCAGCAATACTCTTTATTATCTGATTTATGGAGTATGGCCATTCTGACAGGTGTGAGATATTTTCTCATTGTGGTTTTGAATTGCATTTCTCTGATGGCCAATGCTGTTGAGCATCTCTTCATGGGCTTGTTGGCCATTTGGATATCTTCCTTGGAAGATAAATCCATTGCCCATCTTTAAATTGGATTAATTGTCTTTTTTCTTATTGTGTGAGTTCTTTACATATTTTGGATACAAATTTCTTATAAGATAAACGATTTGCTAATATTTTTCTCCCAACCTGTGAATTGTCTTTTTAACTGTGGTGGTGTCCTTTGAAACATATTGCTGTTATGCTTTATTTAAAAAATTTTTAGGTTTTAAAGTTTTGAAAGACATTCTTGTATGCAATGAAAACTCAGAAATTTTTGAGTAATACACACAAAAGGAATAAATGAAACATTATCTTACCATTCAGAGGTAAGTACTATGAACATTTGGGATTCCATTATGCATTTTATAAGTCTCATCAGTTGTGAATCTCTCTCCAGTTCAATATTTCTATAAAATCATTTCTTACGTTGCATAATCTTTAATAATGTGCGTGAACAGTTTGCCTAAATAGTTCCTTGTTGTTGGACACTTAGGTTGTTTCCAACTTTCGCTCTTTTTAATGAAGTTAAATCTTTCTGAATATGCATGGTTAATTTCTTTGGATGGGTTGGAATAGAATTGCTGGGTCAGAGCATATACACTAAAAAACTTTTTCTGAGGATAGTGCTGGGTATTGAACCTAGGGCCTTATGAATGCTAAATATGCTCTCTCCTCAGCTACATCTCCAGGACCTGATTGCACATTTTTAAGGCTATAGCAACTTGCTCCCCATTTGCCTTCCTGAAAGATTGAGGCCAGCTATGCTCTGCCAGCAGTTTGTGGGAGATAGCCCTTGGCCAAGAAGCCCACCTGGTCCATGAAACAATACTATTAACAGTAATAGCATTGCATTTATGTGCTATGCACCATTTCAAGCACTTTATACATGTTGACTGATTTATTCCTCATAATAACTCAAGTTGATGTTATTTTGCCATTTTACAGATTAGATAATTGAGGCGCAGAGAGGTTATATTGTTGCCCAAGGTCAACAGCTGGGAGTGCAGGATTTGAACCCTGGAAATCTTGTTCCTGAGTCCTGGATCGTAACTACTTTGCTTTATTCTTGATTTAGGTCTCCATCTTATGCAATCAATTGTGGACAGAGGTAGCTGTAGGTATAAATGCTCAGGAGGGAGAAAACTTGGTACTCTCAAACACAATGTTGGCTTTTGCTTTAAAATGTTCATCATGCTAATAAAGCTAATACTTTTTAAAATTTATTCTAATTTGTTGTATATGACAGTAGAATGTATTATAATTCATATTACACATATAGAGCATGATTTTTCATATTTCTGGTTGGACACAATGTAGAGTTACACCATTCCTATCTTCATACATGTATTTAGGGTAATGATGTCCATTTCATTCCACCATCTTTCCTACACCCATGTTCCCCCTTCCCCTCCCTCTTCTTTGCCCTATCTAATGTTTGTCTAATCCTTCAATGCTCCCCTCAAAAACCCCATCATGAATCAATATCCTTATATCAGATAAAATATTTGGCATTTTTTTTGGGGGGGATTGGCTAATTTCACTTAGCATTATATTCTCCAACTCCATCCATTTACCTTCAAATGCCATGATTTTATTCTCTTTTAATGCTGAGTAGTATTCCACTGGGTATATATACCACATTTTCTTTATCCATTCATCTACTGAAGGGCATCTAGGTTGCTTCCACAGTTTAGCTATTGTGAATTATGCTGCTATAAACATTAATGTGGCTGTGTTCCTATAGTATGCTGTTTTTAAGTCCTTTGGATATAGACTGAGAAGTGGGATAGCTGGGTCAAATGGTGGTTCCATTCCAAGTTTTCCAAGGAATCTCCATACTGGTTTCCATATTGGCTTCACCAATTTGTAGTTCTACCAGCAGTGTATTGTGCCTTTTCCCCCACATCCTCGCCAACACTTATTGTTGTTTGTATTCTTGATAACTGCCATTCTGACTGGAGTGAGATGAAATCTTAGAGTGGTTTTGATTTCCATTTCTCTAATTGCTAGAGATGTTGAACATTTTTCATATGTTTGTTAATTGATTATATATTCTCTTCTGAGAAGTGTCTGTTCAGTTCCTTGGCCCATTTATTGATTGGGTTATTTGTTTTTTTGTGTGTGTATGTTAAGGTTTTTGAGTGCTTTATATATCCTAGAGATTAATGCTCTATCTGATGTACATGTGGTAAATATTTGCTCCCTTTCTGTAGGCTCTCTATTCACCTCACTGATTGTTTCTTTTGCTGAGATGAAGCTTTTTAGTTTGAATCCATCCCATTTATTGATTCTTGGTTTTAATTCTTTTGCTATAGAAGTCTTATTAAGAAAGAAATTAAAGGGATACATAGGAAAAGAATAATTCAAATTATCACTACTTGCAGACAATATGATTCTGTAACTACTAGACCCAAAACATTCCACCAGAAATCATCTAGAACTAATAAATGAATTCAGCAAAGTAGTTGGATATAAAATCAACACCCATAAATCAAAGGCATTTCTGTACGTCAGTGACAAATCTGCTGCAAGAGAAACTAGGAAAAATCACCCTATTTACAATAGCTTCAAAAAGATACAAGGGAATAAACTAAACAAAAAAGGTGAAAGACCTCTACAATGAAAGTTTTATTGCAGAATGGTTAGAGAATGTGACTGTCTTGGGTTTTATTTCTGAGGCTTTATTGAGATTTGCTTTGTGGTTTTTGATTTTTTTTCTAAGTGCTTCAAGGGTGCTGGAAAAGAAGGTATATTTTCTGTTTTGGGTTTACATGTTTGTTTGCTTGTTACCATTAATGGTATTATCCAGACTCTCTGTCTCCTATTCTTTTTTAAGTTTACTTGGATTTTCAAGACTGAGAGACATAAATCCTTTCCCACAACTCTTGTGTTCCTGTCTTTTCTTTGTACAAAAGCATACTAGTTGGTTGTCTGTCTTTGTCTGACTTATAAATGCAAATGTTAAAGTATCTGGGCTGGGAAAGAAAGGAACTGAGCAGCTAAACTGAATTCCATTTTAACTATTTTTACCTACGTGTACCTATTTGTACATATTTGTGTGTCTTTGTGTGTTTCTGTGAGGGTGACATGCGATCTGGCATATACATCTGCCTTGGATGTGACTGTGTCAATATTTTCTCCTGTGTGCTGGTCATTGTGAGTTTGACATATGTGTTCATATATGTGTGTTTATCTGTAGCATCTTTTTCTTTAACTTGAACCTTAAACATCAGGGCTAGGGACTGCCTTGCTATTACTTTGGCTTTTTGTGGAGTGGTTAAAAGTCAGGAGCTCTGCCCCCTTGTGTGTTAACCCATCTGAATCTTGGTTTATCTCTCCCGGCAGCAGAAGATCTTCCTGGTAAGTGGGTCCAGTACCAACAGCTTCTCTCTGGCACTCATTCTTTGCTCTGTCTGGGGACCAAGAATGTTAGGACCCTAAACCCCTGCTGTCACCCTCTCCCCAGAATGCCTGTTCATGTGGCCCTGGCCTGGCTTCTGCTTGAGCTCATCCCTTCATAAGCAGGAACTTAAAGGACTTGGTGTTGGCCCAAAAGGGCCCCTAGTATTTTCGGAAGTTTGATGGTAGCGATTCAGGTTATTTTATGACCTAGTGCAGGCTCCTCTGGGATCTCCTCACCGTCCTCTCGTAGGAGTCTCAGAGTGGACTCTTTGGACACCTTGCACATGGCCTTTCTCATTGTACTGGATGAGCTGCCGGGGTGTGGACAGGCATAAACTGAGTGCCCAGCCCCACGTGGGTTTCTGAGGCCTGCCTACTTGTGACCATCCCTCCTTCAGGGAACTTGCTGACTTCCTGGGAGACAGGGCACATTCCTTAGACAGGACATGGCTGGAGGACTGTTCCCCACTCAAGAGCTGGAGGAGATAAAAGGTGGGAAGGTCAGTGTTTGCCACACAGACAACAGGCCCTCCTCTTCCTGCAAATGTGAGTGAGTGGAGGAAGGAGAGGGCTGAGAGAGAGACATTACAGCCTCCTCTATGCTCACCCAATTCCCCTGTTTAGCAGCGTCTTTTGAATAAAGGTCACTTAGTATGTATTGATTTTTAGGGATTGTGCCTTGATTTGACCTCTAGGAAATCTAAGTTTGGGTTTCCAATGTGGGGAGGGGAAGGGCAGGAGAGGTCTAGTGCATTTTGTTCATCAATAATACATTACTGACATTTCCCCCCAGAGCAGCCTCGGTACCTTCTGATTTTAGCATTGGTATGTCCTTGGGATATAGAGGGCGCCATGATAATTATACCCACCTTACAGAAAGGCCCGAGAACCTGACAGAAACACACACAGTGGGGTCAGCACGAGGGCCAGAGCCTCTGCCTCGCAACTCCAGGCAGAGGTAGACACCTTCTCCTCCAGTCTGTGCCCTGGAGAGGCAAGGTTTCAGCTCCCTGCTCCCCTAAGCTCTCCTGTCGGGTGAGCCTTGGCATCTGGGTCAAGCCAGAGGCCTTGGTGGGGATCCATTAAGAAGGACCTTGCTTGGCAAGTTGTTTCTTACATGGTCTCTTCCTTTCTCCCCACCCAGGAAGAGGAGTTCATCGACTGGTGGAGCAAATTCTTTGCCTCAATAGGGGAGAACGAAAAGTGTGGCTCCTATTTGGAGAAGGATTTTGACACTCTAAAGGTGAGGTCTCGCTCCCAAGATGGGATTCTCTTCAGGCCTGCCGTCACTGGGCACCTGGGATGGGCAGAGGGAGATACAGCAGAAAGATAATGTGTGTGTGTGTGTGTGTGTGTGGTTGGGACTCTTGATGAACTAATTGGAATGAGAAAGCTCATCCACCTATTTGGACCAAAAAGTCAATGTGGGCTGGGATAACTAAGAAAGTATTTTGGTACCTGTGATACTTGAAGTATTTGCAGGTAAAATGATGCTTGAGTTTTGCCTTAAAAATGCCCCTTCAGACCCCAAAAATATGCAGGAGGAAGATACATGGTATGGGTGGTCCTCTGACAGATTTTCAAAAGGCTAAAAATGAGTAAGCCTATAAAGCATTAATTGTTAACATTGGAGATGGGTACTTAGGGATTTGTAGTACTATCTGATCTCTTCTAGTGTTGTTCGAACTTTCCTATAATAGAAAATTTGTATTGAAATAAAAAGTGGAATCAATCTGAGAAAGTACCTGTGGCCTCTGAATATAAAAATATGGTGAAACCTTGTCTCTGGATAAAAACCAGGGCTAATCAGCCAAATTCTGGTATTTTGAGGAAGTTCTAACAATGCGATCACTCTTTTAAAAAGTGGATTCCTTTTTAAAATGATGACCAAAAGTGACTCAAAAATCACTGCCCAAAGGAGTTGCAAGTTTCCTGTATAGGGTTACCAGATAAAACCCAGGATGTCAGGTTAAATTTCAGATAATGATGGATGATTTTTAAGAACCATTTGTGTTCTTGTGTGGGACATACTTAACTAGAAAGTATTTTTTATTTATCTAAAATTAAAATATAACTATGTGCCCTATATTTTCACTTACTTCTTTTGAATGTAAATGAGAAAGATTCTGTGCCCCACGATTACCCACAGGCATGGACAGGAGAGAACAAATGGTGGGTGAAGACTGTCACATGCATGAGACGGGTCCCCAGGATCTTAAAGGGGAAGGAATAAGTGAGGGTCCAGGGTAGTTGGGTGGCCTGGTCTTTCAGCTGATTTTTCTGCCTGAGAGTCTTTGGTGGGGACTCTGAAGGGTGGTTTCACGAGGTGGCAAATGTCAAGTCTGATGTGTTAGAGGCTGCCTGATGAATTGTGCCTGGAGACCTGGCAGCTCAGAGATTAGATGACAGGCAGCAACAGTGGCTCCCCCAGCAGTAAGCTCTTCATTGACTTCACAGCTGGGTATGTGAGGTTGGGCAAAGGGACAGGACTATTTGTGTACCAGGAAGAAGGTTCAACACAGTAGGTCTGGCATGTGGTACTGTGGCCTTGCCAAAAAATGAGACAAACCAAGCAAGAATGAGGACTGCTGCCAGGGTGGCCCGTGGCCCTGGCCCCTCGCTGCTCCCTAGGATGCCGGATGCTGAATTGGCACCCAGCCCTCTTGCTTGACCTCTCTGAGAAGATCTCCAAACAGCATCCAAGTGAAAATAGCCTGTCCAAAGCAAAAAGGCATTCCAACTATTTATGGGGGAAAAACTAGACTTAGAAGGAAGTCCTTTAAGGATAAGTAAATAGAAGAAAGCCAGCATCACCAGCATGGGTCTTTGAAAAATAGCCTGTAGCATAATGGAGAGAACAGAGTATACAACAAGTGGAGAAAAACTCATTTTGGAATTTACTAGCATAGGGCAAAAACCAATGCATAGTCTTAAATAGCAAAACGAAAACAAAAGATATAACAAAGCATTTAAAACAAATTATAGAAAAAAAAAACAGTAGAAAAAGAGCAATACAGATTGGTTTTCCTAATAAACAAAAATGGATTAAACTCTCCTATTAAGTGAAAAGGACTCTTAGACTATATCAAAAGTTGAAATTCATCACACTGTTTTTTTTTAAATATTTATTTTTTTAGTTGTAGTTGGACACAATACCTTTATTCCACTCATTTATTTTTATGTGGTACTGAGGATCGAACCCAGGGCCCTGTGTGTGCTAGGCAAGTGTTCTACCGCTGAGCCACAACCCCAGCCCCCATCACACTGTCCCTTTATGAGATGTGTCTAAAATGTACAACTTAGAATGATTAAAAAATGCTTTGGCAACCAATGTTTTGGCTACAAATACAATTTCAGGTAAGAATGAACAAAGGGGAAGCAGGTAGAACTAAAGTAAAAAGCAAAGAAAAAAAAGAGTTTTATAGAAATAAAAAGATACATTTCAATGAGAAGGCACCCAATGCTTAGAAATATTTGAGCAAAAATGGACAGGGATATATAAGCAATTACTTCAGACAGATAAAACACAGAAATTAAAATTGAAGTGAGGGATTTTAATATATATTACTTTTTGATCAGTAAAAAAATAAATAAGAAAATAAAAAATCTGAGTAACTGGGTAAGATGTTTTAAAGTTACGTCAAGTTAATGTTGCATCTTTACATGAAGTCACAGTTGTAGCTTTAAAATAGAAAATAAAAGTCATAAAAATTAGAGAATACATTTTTTCTAATGCTCAGAGAATGCTTACAAAGTTTGATTACATATTAGTTTAGTAATATGTTCCCCAAAGCAGATATCATACAAGAGAGCTTAAAATAAAATGAGAAATTAATAACAAAAGTTTAAAAAGAAAGTTAAACCAGTTTGAAATTTTAAAAAGTATTTTATTAGGACTTCCAGTACGAACATGACTGCATAAATCAGCATTTTTTCCCTTTTCTCTTGGAAATCATTCAAACCCACAAAATCCATTTTTTTTTACCAGAAAAGTTGGAAACAAATACAAGTAGCAGACTCCAAAATATAAGTAAGGGCTGCCCAAGGACAACTGAGATTGGGTAGAGACCCACTTAGCAGTAAATGAAGAGAAGATGCATCGAGGAGGATGAAAGCGCATAGGGGTAGCAGATCCCAGTGAAAATATCCTTCCAAATGGAAGAATGCTGATAATTATTTAAGATGGGTGATGAGTACATGGGAGTTTGTTATCTATTTGTTTTTACTTCTGTGTGCTTGGAAATTTTTTATAATAAGTAGTTTTAAAATATAGTTCTTGGAATTGAGGTTGCACTGTGAAATATGAAAGTTAATCCCCTGTTTGCAACACTGGAGCTTTGGAGACAGGATCAAAGTGATGACAGAAGCCTCCTTAGACTGGTTTGGTTCTGAGAAGCAGAGATGGTGGAGCTACATGAGGATCACCCAGATGAGCCATAGTTGCAGGAAGCAGTCTGCCTCTGTGGTAGGAACAAAGGAAGTAGCTGGTCCAGAAAAATCCGACCTACTTAGTGACGAATAATAATAAAATAAATGGTATAGCATTAATTTAAAAATTCTGGGTGGGGGAAAGGAGGGGAAAATAGAAATCAAATTTAGCAATGAAAGAGGATATATACCCACTGAAAAGTTTTGCCAAGGAGCAGAAGTGATAGAACATTTTTCTGTGAGCTTTATAGAAATGGGGCTGTTAGAAAGCAAAGTAAGGGATGATGAGATGAGTGGAGAGGAGCTGTGAGTGGTAGGACTCAGGAAAAAGGAAGACGAAACATGAAATTGGAAGGAGCAGAGGGCAGCATGGACACATGGGGAACACACTCAGGGGTGTAGAGGACAGAATGACCAAAATGACCAAAACAAGCAAATGATGGAAAAGGAAAAATGTGAAAAAGGAAAAAGAGAAAATGGCAGATATTGAAGTCAAAGAAAAGAGGCCCAACATTTGCATAATTGGCCCCTCTGAAGATGATAACCAAAACAGTGAAGCCAAACAAGTAAACATAATAATTTAATCCAACGTCACTGGAATGAAGGAACGTTGAATATACATTTTGTAAAGGTCCACTGTGTATTAGGAAAAATGGACCCAGCTTGGTCAACTCTGAGACATATACTAGAGTAATTACTGTACTTCAGAGTTCTTTGGGTAGTCATAGCTCTTTCTCATTCCATAGGGTAGAGGAGAAATAAATCAAGATGATTTCAGTTCTCTATAACCTTCAAAATCTTACTGTAAAGCACCATATATAGGATCATCAAAGAAATGCAGGGTGACCTGAGGATTTTACATTCAGCAAAGCTGCCTTCAGGCAAAACTACAGACTGCTGGGTGTGTGTCTTCAGGAACTGAGTTAATATAATTCCTATGAGCCCAGCTTGACAGAACTCTCAGAGATGAGCTTTAGCCAGCGAGGTGACCAGAGCAGAAGGACTGTGCGTATCCCATTTTACCTTAGAACCCAAAGGAAAACAAACGGAAGGCTTAGGCTCAGAAGACAATGTAGATACCACATGATATGGTAAATGCAGAATAGACTGAAAATGTAGAAATGATAAAACTGACAAAAAGTCAGTGGAGAAGGAGGAAAGAAGGTGAGACGTAGAGTAAGGACACTAATTGCTATATTACAAAATGAATGGAGTGGAGAGATTAAAAAATTTGCAGATCACAACATAGGACTATAAGCAAATTATGACCAAATAGTAAAAGGTAATCATTAAGAAGAAAATGTTGCCTAAAACTAGGTGATAGAGAGGGAGAAGGAGGAATATAAAGTTTAACCCACAAACACTGTCTCTAAAGACATAGAGGACTAATTATTATTAGTATGTATACATTTATAATACCAGAATGGAAACTCAGGTTATCCTAGATACCAGAAGACACACACACACACACACACACACACATACACACGTATTGTGCAGCTAGAGATTTCTAAAAAACCTATGAAACTAGAAAATTCCATGGCTAGCTCAATATAAAAACAAAGGTATAACTCAGACTACATATCACTACCTGTAACATCAACTGCTTATTATGAAATTTAAATTTGATCTCAAAAAAAAATCTCTGTTAAATCAGACCTCAAAACAAAATCTAACTCTAAGACAAAGAGATTTATAAAGAGTGAAAAATAAAAAATTGGCAATATGTGTACCAGGCAGATGTAAATGAAAAGATAGCAGAAGTCATGATGTTAAAGTTTTCAGGTTCCTAAGATTGAACAAGACAAAAGTTGG